TGCATGAAATTATCATGCACCCCACAGCCGGGCGAGCCGGTTGCGGAGACGCGCCTTGCTGTGGTGGCCCTGGAAGAGTCAGCCCGATGCTCCACGTGCCACCGCGTAGTGGACCACGAGGACACAGTTGTGGTGAACCGCCAGACTGTGAAGAGCAAGGAAACGAGGCGCTGCAAGGCCTGCCACAACCTCAAGGCTGCTGTGAGTCGCATGCAAAAGATGCATGGCAACCTGGTCGCAGACTTGCAGGAGGTCACTGGCCCGAAGCTGGAAGCTTTTTACAGGGACCACAGCCACCTGAGGGGCGAGGACTTGAAGCTGCGGCTTCAGGAAATCGTCACGGACTGGAAGCAGACCACGTCTGAGCTCTCCTTCTGCTTCTGACTAGGCCATGGCGACTCCTCCAAGCAAGGTAGCTTCTGGACTTCCAAAGCAGTAAGAGGTCCAGGAGGAGCAACGGTAGAGAGGGTTTAGGGTTTAGGGCTTGAGAGGTATGATGGTAGGCCATGAGTATTGCAGTTGCCTTCGCGTGTGCCACATTGGAATTTTCCCAAGTCAGTATAGCACCGTTCCCTCGCTTTCCTACAAGAGGTGGATATCCTTGCATTAGTTTCATTACCAAACCCAGATCAGAGTTACATTGGAGGGCCCAGGTAACCCTAAAGTCGGAACATGGAGGCCCACAAGGGCCCCAGACGGCCTACTGTCCTTTTGGAAGGGGCCTATTTGGGTTTCCAGGGTTTTTTGGGGAAGGGTGAAGCCTGAACCCTACCTAAAGTGACCTTCTACCTACAGAAGAGGGAAGGGATACCACAATTTGAAGCACCACGTCCTTTGTGTTTAGGTAAAAAGGTTAAATATTCTGAGTACGTGACTACGTATGAGCATCATCTTGTCCTGTCAACCTACACGTTGACCTCAACTCACCAACCCACAGCCCTTTTGACCCTAAACCCCTACCCTTGCTGTTTAGGGTTTTGGGTTTCGGGTGCGCAGGGTCCAGGTACAAAAGGGATCGTACACTTCTAGGGTACTTATGCCCTGTAAGCATGAAGCCCTGTGCCCTAAACTCAATCTTGAAGCCTAAGCCAATCACATGCACGGGCTGACCTAAATCCTAAAACCCTAAGCCCTGAACCCTAAACCCTAAAACCCTAACAGCCTAAGCCCTAAAAACCTCAACTCTGAAAATCTGCTAGAGTTCCCTAAGTGCTTTTCCGTGTACCCCTAAACTTCCTCATCCGCAAAAACCCCTAGACTCCCTGAAGGGTTCCCCTGAGGGTCCAGGGACTCAAATCATAAGGTTTTAGGGCCCAACTACTATAATGTTGATGGTATTTGGGCCCTAAAGCCCTATTATTTGGATCCTTGGACAAGCCTTGGACCCTTAGGGTTCAGGTTTTAGGGCCAATTCCAACCACAATCTTGATCAAATTTGATAGTGTCCCGATGAGGAACCCGAAAAACCCCTGCACCCCCGCAAAACCCCGAAAGCCCTCTCATACCCAGAGGGTCCATGAGCCCAATAATTTGGTACTTGGGATTTGGGTAATAGCAATCATAGTACAGATTTTGGGTAAGTATTTGATTATTAGGTACTTGGACACTTAGGGATACCTAAATCCTAGAACCCCGAGCCTCCTGAAGTCCCGCAACTCTATGAGCCCTGATTCTTTCCTGAACCTTACCCGGAGCAACCTAGACCTTCAGCAAAAGGTAATTGAGACCAGAATACTAGCTGCAAAGAATCTTTAGTGATACATTGATAGCTCTAGGTCATCCCTGAACCAGGGTGAAAGGGTTCAGGGCGTTGGGTTCAGGGTTTGAGGTTGCCCGTAACCCAAAAGTATGCAAAATAATGGCCTTTACGGCTGTTGTTAGGGGTTAAGGGCTATTATTTTACATACTTTTGGGGGTTTAGGCTTAAATCCTAGCATAGCCCCAATATATTCCCACATATACCCAATTATGGCTGTTGATTTGTGGGGTTGAGGTAGTTCCCGGCCTAAGGCCGCTGCTTTCGTGGCTGGGGCGCCGTGGTGTCGGCCGTGCGCTCGCGGCGGGTTTTCCTGGCAGTAGCTGTCGAGGTGGCCTTTCCGAAGGTTTCGGGTTTAGGATTTAGGGATTTAGGGGGTTTAGGGGTTTAGGGATTAAGGATTTAGGGTTTAGGGAT